ATTCCTCCCCACAGGCTCCAAAGGCCACTAGCTCTCATTATCTATTTGTGCTGCCAGGGCTCCTCACTGAGGGTAAGGCTCAAGGAAACACTCAGAATGTTTTTCTAATGACAGCCTGTTGGTATTACTAACAATATGGCCATCTGTCTCATAGCTGTACAGATGCCAAGTGCTGTGTTTATGTCATCAAATGGTGTCATCAGATTGACTGATTGATTTTTTGGTAGGCCTTCTCTTCTTTCCTTCTGTCTCTTCTTTCTTTCTTTCTTCCTTCCTTCCTTCCTTTCTTTTTTCCTTCCTTCCTCTGTTCCTTCCTTTTTTCCTTCCTTCCTTTCTTCCTTCCTCTCAGGCTCTACCACTTAAGCCAGGTCTGGTATTTAACTCCAATCTGGTATTTTACTGGTTAATTGGAGATGGAATCTCAGACTTTTCTGCTTGGGCTCACTTCAAACTGGGAACCTCCAGGTCCCAGCCTCTGAATAGCTAGGACATAGGCATCAACCACTGGCACCCAGCTTTTTTTGGTGGTTTTAATGCTTTGTGGGGGTTTTGTTACAGACTGAACCCTAGCACCTTACATAGTCTAGGCAAATGTTCTCCTACTTGAGTCACACACAAGTCACACACTTGAGTCAAGCCCTTTTGGGTTTTTGTTTTGTTTCTGAAATAGGGACTCAAGTTACCTTTGCCTGTACTGATTTTGAACTTGAGATCATCCTGCCTCCACTTCCCAAGTAGCTGGGATTATAAGTGTGTACCCCAGCCTTTTATCATCAAATGTAATTGTCACCATAGCATTGTGGGATGGAAATAATTCTTTTACATGAGGAAACTTTGTGAGGTTATATAACTTGTCCTATGCCATGTGACTCACAATAGGGACTCTGTGACTGCAACCTGAGTGCATCCTGCTGTTACTTAATTTGTGTGCAGAATATAAGAGAAGCATAAATCTTTCAGATTTCTAGTCAAGTAGAGAAATGGCCTTTGCTTATTCAGTTCATTCACCTACAAAAAATGAAAGCTGGCTTTTATGGATTTTTTTTTTTTCTGCTCTACATCTTTAACCTAAAGAGCTTATTTCACAAAATTTGCACCTGGTGTTTAGCTAACTAGCAGTTACCAGGTTGTATAAATATTCACATGATAAATGAGCATGTGAATAATCAGTGAGACCAGTCAGTCTCATTGGGTCCGGAATTGTTGTTGTTGTTGTTGTTCTTGTTGTTTTGTAGTACTACAGTTTGAGCTCAAGGCCTCTTACACTGGCTAGACAGTAATTCTACCACCTGAACCACTTCACAAGCTTTTTACTGTGTCAGTTATTTTTGAGATAGGATCTCACTTTTGTGTTGAGATTGTCCTGGATTTCAATCCTCCTATTTGTCTTTCTCTAGGTAGCTGAGATTACAGGCACCATGCCCAACCATTGGTTGAGTTAGTGTTTTATGAGCTTTTCATCTGAGCTAGTCTGAATCTAGCTAAGATTACTGATTGAAGCCACTATACCTGGCTAAATTGTTATTCTGTTGTTTAAGGAAAATCCCTTATCTCCTTTGAGAAAAAGGTACTAACACATCTTAAAGAATGTAAATGTTTTTGATGTAAGGGAAAAGTGACCAAGTGAGAAAATGAAAAACAACTGAGCTAATCTGTGATGCTTTAGAGCCTGTGTTATTTTCTAGGTAACCATGAGCATCACACCAGCTCATCACCTTTGTGCCCTAGTTCTAATCATTCAGTGTCATGGAGGAAAAAAATAAAACCAAGTCTGGATCAACCTTTCCATATATATATATATATATATATATATATATATATTACATATACATATCATATATATCATATACATATCCATATATCATATCTCAGTCTATAGTCTTGCATACATTTATTTTAAGAATTATCCATTTCTGCACAATTTTATTTGGTACACATTAGTCAGATTTTGTAGCTTAGATGAGCCATTTCAGTTTTTTCTATTTTTTCACAAATTAATTGCAGTCATTTGGAAGCACACTGTTCTTGTGTGCTATTCTTCTTTGATTATTGATGTTGATTCTTTCTGTTTGTTAGCCTCTGGTAGAACAGAAGTGAGGCTTTTCTTTTTTTTTTTTTTTTTAGAAAACAGTGAATTTTAGCCCCTATTAAAACAATCATTACAATTATTTAGTAAGTTCTGACCTAGATTTAAATAATGACTGCCTAGAGCCTGCTCAGAGATACTATTTTTCTGCCTAAAAGTTTGCTCTATTTTATGCAGTTACAAGGGAGTCCCATTGATAAGACCTGTCTAATATTCTATTAAATAGAGTTGTCTTATGCCATTCGAAACTGTAGCAATTAACATGCTGATGGTGCAGCCAGTAAGTAAATTCACAATCTGGTTGATAGATAAATTCTGAACAAAATAAAAAGGCTGGGGCAAGTTCTTTTATATAGGTCATTTTATGGAACTTATCAAAATATTCACTAACTTGACAAAAATAAAATAACTAGGCCTGAAACTGTGAGCTTATCATCATCACTATTATCAGCCATGAGAACAATTGAAATTTCTTGGAATTGTGGTATGACTGACTATCTTTTGGAAAAACATGTAATGGCTATTTTTAGGTATAATTTACAAACCCAATGGTTTTTAGAATATTTAGAGTGTTTTTCAACCATTGTCTTGAGCTTCTTCTGTGTGTGTGTGTGTACATGACCAATATGCCGGTTCCAGGGCTTGAATTCAGGGCCGGCCTCCTGCTCTTGCTTGGCTTTTACACTTAAGGCTGGCACTCTATAATTTGAGCCGTACCTCCACTTCTGGGCTTTACGATTGTTAGTTGGAGATAAGAGTCTCATGCACTTTCGTAGCCTGGCTGATTTTGAATCAGAGTCCTTAGATCTCAGCCTCTTGAGTAGCTAGACTTATAGGCATGAGTCATCAGTGCCTGGTCATCATCACTTTCAGATCATTTTCATCAGCCCCCAAAGAAATCCTGTGCCAACCTTCCTTCCTTCCTTCCTTCCTTCCTTCCTTCTTTTTTCTTCCAAGTCCCCTAACCCTAGGCAACACAAATCAACTTTCTGTCTCTATGAATTTCTCTTCTCTGGACATTCAAGTATATGGAATCAGATTACACCATCTTTTGAGATGGGTTCAATCACTATTATGTTTCAAAGGTTCACCCGCAGCGAAACCACCCTTCTTTATGGTTAAACAATGTTTCATTATATGCCTGAACCAACCACATTTGTATACCTGTTTGTTAACTGGTAAATATTGGGCTGTTTCTATTATGAAGAATCTGTGAGTTTTTGTATGAAAACACATTTTCATTTTTCCTAGATTCCATAGCTATAGAATAATTGGATCATCTGACAACTCCATGTTTATCCTTTTGAGGAACTGCCACTGTGTTTTCCAATGCGACTCCTCTTTTAATTTCTGCCAAGAGTAATATGGGGCTGTCCAAGCTCTCTACCTCCTCCCCAGCACCTATTTATTACCATTGCTATTGTAACTATCCTAGTGAGTGGGAAGTGCTATCTCTTTGAGCTATCCATTTGATCCTTCCAATGGCTAAGGATGTTGAGTACTTTGGTTCGAAGAAACAGCTACTGGGATCCTTGGTTCACTTTTTTTTTTTTTATTGTTTTGATTATTCAATTGCAAGAGTTCATCCTGTAATCCACATACACATTCCTTATCAGATAAATGATTTGCAAATGTTATCTCCCATTCTGTAGAGGTACTTTTACATTCTCTTGGTTACACTTGTATGTTTTGTGACCTACTTATTGTTCAGGGTGTTCTTACAGATTCTCCCAATCTGGGCACATTTCTTCCCTTCATTCCATACCCTCCTTTGCACTGATTACAGTGTATGAGTATTAGCAGATCCAGGTTTGTTGGCCACAGGGAGCTACGTCCGGCCAAGCATTTTATCTCCGAGCCTGAGACCCAGAATAATGCAGAATGAGAGTAAAATAATTTTTCAACAAAATGAAAATGAACCTTGAGTGTGGGGAGGAAAAATCCAGATCGATAATGTTCTAAAAGAATTAATAGGAAGGGCTTTAATAGACTGTCAAAGAATCTAAGGAACACACAATCCTTGGTAGGAAAATAAGTCTCCATGATTTTTCTAGACATTGAAATTGTTTAAACACACTTCTTCTCAGAACTCCTCCATTCTTAACTTAATATCCCAGCAGAAGCAAATAAAAAACACTTTAAAAGAAATCCCATGGACTTTTTTGTGTATCCCTTTGCTGAAATTTGAGACTCATACACGTGGCCATATTGATTTCCTATTTGGAGCTAACACAGCTTCAACACAATCACATAGAGAAAAGTAGTTGATAGCCTAAGATGACTGATTTATTCTTTGTTCATGCTGCAAGATGTGCTAAAAATTACTTCATCTCAATAGACTTCCTGGAATTCCTGAATGAGAAATACCTGCACCCTTGATTATTTTTTTCTTTATGAAACAAAAATAGCTCTTCATTTTTCAAGGAGTTTGGCAGTCATGCTGATTAGAGTACTGTATTAGACTAACACTTATTTTGAATGACTAAAAACCAGATGCTGTTCATGATAGTTCAAAGCTTATGCTAATGTGTCCACTCTGGTGTTCAACACATTTCAGTTAAGAGTACTAAGAGGATCCTTCAAGCCAGAGGTAGGGAATCCAGTAGGAAATGCTTCCTTGTCTCTGCCCAGGACCCTCTAGAAACAGCATTTCCTGTAACATAACCTTAGCCAAGGAGAGATCAATGTTCTCTTAGCCAGCATATAGGCCAGCCCAAAATGTTGGACACATAGAAGAGGAGTGGGAAGTATTTGTTTAGTCAGATGGAGAGCTGGACACACAGCACTGTCATGAAGGTCAAACACAAGAGTGAAATATGTATTGGGGTTCATTCCTTGTGTCTTGGACATACCACACATCTGGATGATGGTCATGAACTCATCACCTGTGTTCTCATTTTTTCCTTAGAAATTCGAGCTCAACTGGTAGAGCAGCAAAAATGCCTTGAACAACAGACGGAGATGAGAGTTCAGCTCCTCCAGGACCTGCAAGATTTCTTCCGGAAAAAAGCTGAAATTGAGACTGAATATTCTCGAAACCTGGAGAAGTTGGCAGAGAGATTCATGGCCAAAACCAGAAGCACTAAGGATCACCAGCAGTACAAGTAAGAGAAATGTCACTCAACCTCACCTGTCCAAAATGATAGCCAGCATTTTTACTAATGTCTGAGAAGCTCCTGGGTGGGAACTTTATCCCCATAAAGAAATATACTTCTCTTCCAAACTTACAGTATATGGGCATCAATTTATCATATTTTAAACTAATGATATTCTCTTGAGATTTTTCTGTTTTCAGTACAAGAATGTTTATATAGAAGTTCATCTATGAAGTATTTACTCTGTTAAATCCTTGATTTATTCTTTGTAATACTTGCACCTATTAGCAGAATAGAAGCATTGTGTTATAATTAGCAATTAGATTCAAAAAATTTCCTGACCATCTCCTTCACTCAGCATTTGACCACCCTGCCATTAATGAGCTGGGTCACACAGATCCGAACACATGCACAGTCCTATATCAAAGTCAGATAATAGGAAGAAACTTTATTCTATCTCCACTGAATAAGATCCAGCACCCCCATTGAGGGAAATTGCCTTGACACTGGGAAAGATGAGATAAACAAGGTTTCTATTATGATGTTCTTGTCTTTGGACATTCATCCCATATCTTTAAACAAAAGCAAGTCAGTAGCTAGTAGCTAGTGAATCTCATTTTCCAAAACACACATGTTTCATCGTAACAGTCATTTACAGAAATTTTGGCATGCCACATTTTGCTTTGTGCTTTTTGCTAAATCAGTAAATGACTAATCTTATTTCTAATGTATTAAAATTGTCAAAGGATTCTTTCAGGATTCTACATGCTGATAACAGTGGGAATCAGAACAATGTGTACAAAGTCAAGGCCAAGTGAACAGGCCTTATGCTGTGAAGAACATAATTAGGTAGAATCGAGGGCTCCTGAGTTATGAATGGCTTATTTGAATATAGAAAGATGCTATTTTTAGGCACAGTATTCCTCTAAACCTTGAAGCTATGTTTTTTACAAATGAGAAATTTATGGACTCAATAGAAATGACCACATGTCACATTTGCTAAACTAGCACTCTACCACTTAAGCCATGCCTCCAGCCCTGCTTTTTGCTGATTGACTTGGAACCTTTATCTTCCTGAGTAGCTAGAATTATGGATGTGAGCCATTGGCTCCTGGTCTTAAACTTTAATATTAATTTTACTTCATTTCTTTAAGAATTACATACAGATTACTCTGTTCATGAAATTTTGTTTTAAAATTCAAGTCCTGCAAATGAGAGAGAAGTAGGCAGTCAATCCATTCGTGTACACAAATCTTCTATCAGGGATGAGCACAGGATGCCAGCTAGGGACAGACATGGCTGAAGACCATTCTACAGTACTGATAGGGAAGGAAATGAAAGAAATGATACCTAGGCAGAGACCTGAGAGATTATTAGGCAGGGAAGAGAGCTGAAGAAAACGCTCTGGGCTAGGAAAGCTTCGTGAGTCAGGAGAGAAGAAGGAAAGGGATAGAGAGTCAGACCTGCAGAACAGGAAGTTGTCTGTGGGCTAAGCGGTGAGGCTGAGAGCTGTGGGGCTCCTGGCGTGAATTAGAGCAGATCATGGGTACTGTAACCCATCTTCCTGGGGAAGTTCTACCATTGCCCTGCAGACAGGACGTTTTATACAGAAGGATAACTTGCCTGCACATGATTTTAAGATGGTGACAAAGACCAGAGGTAGCATTGTGTACAGCTAAAGGAAGGGGGACAGGAAGGGCTCTCACCATGATGGCGAGCTACCCAGTCTGGAGCCAGAGTGGACAAACCTATCTGGGAGATACTTTAAAAGCAGCACAGACTTTCATTTCTGGAAATATAGGAGACAAAAGACTATGAAAAACAGCTGGGCATCTAGCTCCTAGAAGTGTTGGTTCAAATATAATAGACATCGCTGTCAATGTGCAATTAAACTCAGGAAAGTCAGGGTAATTTCCAAGGACCAATAGGGAAGAGGGAAGTGAAGCCCTACATGGCAGCATTACCCACACTGTGGACCCCACCTACATGGGCCCAGAAGGAGAAGTCAATGCAAAGTAAAGATGGGAATAGAGAGCTTCCCCACCACCCAGCCTTCTGTGTCTCCAGGAGAGTCCTACCCTGTGAGTTGGTAAAACAGAAAATCATCTGGCAGATGCTGAGAGCACTGACCTTTCCACACCACTCACTTCCCATGACCTTGGAGCCTACATGAAAAATAGGGAGCTTTTCAAAAGCAAATGCTTTTGAATGCTATTCTGGAAAAAAAGAATTCATTTTTCTCTTTTCTTCCCTTTCTTCTTCTTCTTTGGATGACTTTAACCCCTACTTTGAGACCAGTGTAGACATAAATCTCAATGAGATTCTTCCAGGATGACCAAATGTAAAAGGTACTTTCCAAGGCTGAGGAAAGCAAGAAGATCCAGGAGCAAGTATTCCATTCACACTTACGCACATGCTGCTCTGTGTGTGTGTGTGTCTGTGCATGTGCACGCACGTGTCCCTATGTGTAACAGTACTGGGGCTTGAATTCAGGGCCTTGTGCTCTTGCTTGGCTTTTTCACTCAAGGCTAGTGCTCTGCTAGTTGAGCCAGACCTCTATTTCTGGCTTTTTGGTGGTTAATTGGAGATAAAAGTCTCATGGACTTTATTGCTTGGGCTGGCTTCAAACCATGATCCTCAGGTCTCAGCCTCTGCCATAGTAACTCACTTTTGAAAAGCAATTGCAAATGAGAAGACAGTCCATTCACCTGGCAGTGTCTGAGTCTGCCTTAGTACTTGGCTGTGAACTACAAGAAGGAATGGACCATCATTTTAGATTTGACCTCGTAGTCATCAGGTGCCATTTTTTTCGTTTGTTTCTCCAGATTTGTGTAATGATTTTCTTCAAAAGATAAGGAGCTTGAAATGGTCTCAGACTAGGATAAGCATGTTTTCAAGTGTAGGAATAATAGTAAGTATATGAGAAGGATAAACCATACTTGGGAAAATCTCTAGGACTGGCTTTATTTAATAGCCAACCAGCCCTCATTTTGAATAATGGCTCTAATGTGTAGCTCTGGGCAGGTTACAGATCTTCCTGAGCTTTGGCTCCTTCATGTTAAATAAGGTCTTATGACTAAATGACATGACTAATGTGACAGAATCCTTGATGTGACCCACAGCTTGCTTAGAACAGGCACACAGTATTCCTTCTTCCTTTGCCAGACACATGTTGTCTCTTTAGCACAGTAATGGTCCCAGGCAATGAGGGTGGCCTCCAGGCTCTGCTCTTCTTCAGTTTGCAATGCTTATTCTGCCCAAGAGTCCTTTGCCTAAAGTTGCCACTGTGTGATAGAATTAGCAAGCCTTGAGCCTGGCACTGATGCCTCGTGACTGTAATTCTAGCTTCCCAGGAGGCTGAGATTAAGCTGGAGCAAAAGAAAAATTAAAAAAGGGAGTAAGCCTTGAATCAGCCTCCTTAGACACAAGAACCCACTGTGACCAGTTTCTGTTTTTACCTTGTTGTCTTAGCCACTGACAGAAAGGACACTGAGGGCCTCTGCTACAAGTAGTTGTATTAAGGGTTAAGTAGAATTAATGTCAAGTCTTTAGAGCAGTCCCTGGTCAAAAATAGCCAGTGTTACCTAGCACTTACTGAGCATTGCCCGACACATTATTATAAGCGTTGAAAATGTATATATGAACTCAAAGCATTCCTTATAATAATGCATACTATTATTTTACTCATTGTACAGAGTATCCAGGGTGTTGAGAGCTTAGAACCACTTTTCTAAGACCACATTCCTATTAAGTGGTAGATCAGCATGCACCATCTTGATCAGAGGACTACTTCTCACTCAGCAAGCAATGGCTGCTATTTTTGCTTTGTTGTTAGTATTTATTATGATTACTGCTACTCCTAGTAACAAAGCAGTAATATATATGTTCATTCAGTCAATGAAATCACATTTATTTAATGCTTATAATGGAACAGGCACTGGGGATACAAAGAAGTATGAAATATTCTCAGGGAATTTATAAACTATTTCATGATAAAAAGATACACATAAATGTAGCTATAAAGAAGCTGGCTTCAGGGTTGCTTACCTGAGGGGTTGGTGGATACAGAATGTCAATAGAAAGGCTCCGGTTACCAGCCATAAAACCACTGCTTCTTAATTATGGTTTTAAGAAACAGAAGGGTCATATGTACCTAGCTGTTGAGCTATTGTGGTCCTCTGCTAAGAGTATCATAGACATAGTCTAGTTAATAAATAGGGGAAAACATTTAGCTTATGTTTCTTTGGGTCTGGCTTGGTTTGCTTAATATAATTTTTTCCAAGTCTTTCCATTTCCTTAAGAATGGGGCAATGTCATTCTTTCTGATGGAAGCATAGAATTCCATTGTGTATATAAACCACATTTTCTTGATCCATTTATCTACCGAGGGGCATCTGGGTTGGTTCTATATCTTAGCTATGGTAAATAATGCTGCAATGAACATCAAAATGAACTCCAAGAAATGGAAACAGTAGGTTTTTACAATGTACCGTTCACAGTTATTTCTTCTTTTCTTGTGTTTTTCCTTTAGTTTATGCCCTGTTGTCACTGTTTTTTATTTCTGCACCCTTTGTTTATATGTAAGTTGATAGGCTTTGTGGAAGGGAAGGGGAATCACAGAAATGGTAGGACAGCGATACAAGACACTACGTTGGAAATGAACTTTACAACTTTGCAGAGAGGGCATGGGGGGTGTAGGAAGTGGGAGACAATGAGGGAGGGGGGTGACACTGTACTCATTACCTTACTTACATAACTGTAAACCTTCTGTACGTCACCTTTACAATAGGTAAAGGAGGCAGTCTGTGCCCTGGGAAGAGTGGAGGGCTGCTCTTGAAGGTCCAAGACAGGCTCTCACCATGTGGTCCAGATTAAGCTTACACTTCTGATTGCAGTCTAACTCCCATCCAGGCTACTGTGAAATATTAAATCTAGACTCTGAGAGGTTTAATGATAGAAAACCCTGACTTAATCATTTTTCCTCAATATTCAGGGTCATAAATGGTCATGAATGACAGACTAACACATGTAATAAACATGGTGCTTATGTTCTTTCATTAGAAAGCTCCCGACAATTTTTGCCATTTTTCTGTTCCTTTTTAACGTAAAAGAAAAAAAAAATAGTGCACTTGATTTTTTTAAACAGTGACATTTTAATTGTTCACTGTTTTAGAATTTTTCTACAAGATTTTTTTTTAAACTGTCTTGTTCTGGGGCTCATAGTCATGTTGAAGGTTAATAGCTAGAATCAAAGCAGGAACAGTTCGAAATCTGAAAATAGTCTAATGGGTTTGAACAGGGCATGTGACAGGTCAGAGCCAGTAAAGTTCTTTGGTTCTGGTCATGAGTCTCATGACCAGAAACACATTTTGGAAGCTGGAGGTTCTATGATAGGGGATTCATAAATAAACCTCGAATTTGTGATCTATGCAAAGCAGAAGTAGCCAGATTTCTTTCCCAGGGGCAGGCTGAGCATTCACAGCAGACTTTGTGCTGTGATAAACCACAGTCTGCCTACAGGACAGTCGTCTATAGATTCTTCTGTAAACATCAACTGCTTCCGCGATGGTGTGTGTGGGAGTTGTGAAGCTGAGGGCTGCCTAGTGCTGTATATGGTAGAGTCCTGAGTTCCTTGTTAGGAATGAGAGTTTTCACAGATGGTCTTGGTCTGAGTTTTCCTTGCAAGCTTGGCAAGATTCTGGCTCTATGCTATAAACAGGCAGGAAGGCCAAACTGTGGGCTGTCAAAAGACCTAGTCTACATAAGACATGCTTGGAGAGAAAGGGAAAGCACCCATCCCACAGGTGCTTTGAGTGGTTGGGACAGCTTTGACATTGCCGGTAACCCTGTCCTTCTTCACCTCTCAGGAAAGACCAGAACCTGCTGTCTCCTGTGAACTGCTGGTATCTGTTGCTGAACCAAGTGAGGAGAGAAAGCAAAGACCATGCCACACTGAGTGACATCTATCTGAACAACGTCATTATGCGCTTTATGCAGATAAGTGAGGATTCCACCAGGATGTTTAAAAAGGTACCCTCTGAAATCCTGCCATCCTTCTGGAGGGATCACTTCCTCATCACTGTTTGGCCTGTAACCAGTGTCTAAATATAAGGGGGAAAATCTAAGGGAGCCAATATTTTAAAGACCACAGAACAAAAAGTTAAACCAACCAAGGGCTAATGGCTCTCACCTGTAATCCTAGCTATTCAGAAGGTTAAGATCTGGGAGCAGACAAAGCCAAGAGAATCTTATCTCTAAGTAACCAAAATTAGCAAAAAGCTGAAAATGGAGGTGTAGCAAACCACCAGCTTTGAAAGAAAAAGCCAAGAAAGTGAGAGTGCCCCACTACTGGCGCGCACACACACACACACACACACACACACTCACACACAAGTTTTAAGCATGGGTAAATGAGCATATATATGTATATATATATACATATATATGTATATATATATATATTGCACATATATATTGCATATACAGCAGGAAGATAGCATATATGTGCTACATATACTTCTCTCTGGTCAGTCAGGTGCTGCACTTGGGGCTTGAGCAATGTGTATCTGCAGATTGCATACCTATCCTTAGCAATGGATGGTCACAGGAAAAGTCAGGGAAGAGAAGAGCCTGAGATTCTAACCTTTGGGCTCACAGATGGGCAGACTTGTGAAGGACAAGGCTGCCCATGTGGGCTGCTCAGAGGAACATGTTACCACAAGTTTTTCTCTCCCCTGCCAGAGCAGCAAGATGTGAACAATATTCCACAGAGCCCAGAATATCCAGTGCAGACACACCACACACCACAGAGCTTCCTCTTTCCCAGGCCTAAGACACATACACACACACACACGCACACGCACACGCACACACGCACGCACACACACACACACACACACACACGCATACATGCAAGCACTGGGCTTTAAAGGCTTTTTGTCATCATTCCTAGCCTCACCAACTCTTAGCAATTTTTTGTTGTTGTTGTTTGGACATCTTTTTGCTGAGAACAATAACAAAATCAGACCATTTCCTGTGCAGAGAAGGCAGCTCCATGCCCTGTAAGACTGGCCTTCCTCCCAATTCGTAGGCCCATGAGATATAATAACTTTGTTTTCTGTTGATAATTTTTAGTGCTTCCATTTATACCTGCTCCCTTCCTTTGGAAGAAAAAGCCAAGTAAGTAGTTATTAGTTTCAAAGAGGAGAGGGTAGAGAGCCACTGTGCAGATTAATGATATATTTATGTTTCAAAGAGTCCCCGTAAAACAAAGACACAGTGTTAAGCAGGCCAGCTGGAAAACTTCGCAGCCATGGTTTCGTGTATCCACATTAGATATGATTTCTGACCTGAAGAAAGAATTTAGCCAATGTTTAAGTCATCTTGTACTCCATAAAGCGACCAAAACCAAAAAAAAAAATAGTGCTTCAAACAAATGAGAATTTTTTTTATAGGAACTAAGGAGTATATTAATGAAGAAGAGAATCAGCAGAGAAATATTGTAGATAGAAGAACTTTACAAAGAATTTAAGCTGTGAAAGCAAACCAATTTTCTTGTTTGGTTAAGGCAGCGTCGGTGAGCATCTCCTGAGAGCAAGAAGGTGATGAGGTGTGGTTGTCAGAAAGGCTAGACATGAAGAAGAACTGGCTCTGTGTTCAAGGTTGCATATCATTGAAGTTTGGATGGTGCTAAAAGATACATCTCAGCCCTGGGGGTCTTGGCCACTGTTCAGCCCCTGCAGGGGACCAGCACCTCAAGAGAGTTCATGTTTTTATCCATTTCCTAAAACATCTGGACTGGCAAAGCAGAGTTTAAAGACATGTCTCTGCCTGCAAGGAGCTCATTATAATAATTAAGGATCACCAGATTCAAGAGATACTAAGGCTGCTGTGGGAGCCTGGAAGCTGGCACCTTACTCTTACCAGGGGAGCCCGGAGTACTCACAAGAGGGAACACTGGAAGTGAGTTTTTTTGTGGGGGGAGCAGGAGCCTTTCAGGCAACTATGAATGACAGGAGCTCCTCTGGGAAACTCAAAAGCTGTGTACAAGGAAAAGGAAAGTTCGACGTCACCAGACTAGGGTTGTGATAGGATCTGAGGTTAGAAAAGATAGTTAGATTGTTCAGTCTAATCATTGCTCTGATGAAAGGATTTCTGTTTGTTTGGTTCCTTGGTTGGGTTTTATTTTTTGGCAGTACTGCGGTTTGAACTCCAGTCCTTAAACCTGCTAGACAAACACTCTTTCACGTGAACCACTCCCCTAGACTTCCCCCTCGCCCCCTTTTTCCTTTGGCTACTTTTCAGACAGGGTTTTGTGCTTTTTTCTTGGGCCAGCCTCAGCCAGAAATCCTCCTATCTATATCTACCAGGAAGCTAGAATTGCAGGTATGCACTAGTATTCCTACCTTGTTCTTTTGAGATAAGGTCTCACTAAGTGTATTTGTCCCAGGCTGGCCACACTTCAAGGTCCCTCCTATCCCTACCTTACAAGTAACTGGGGATTACAGGCACAAGCCATTGCATCAGCCCAGGATTTTTTATTTTGTTAAAGTCCGCTGAGGACTGGACTCTCAGTCCACTGAGAGTTAAACAGGTTTGGACTTGAATCCCTGCTCTTCTGTTTCTTTATTTTGTGACCTTGGGAGATAGTTCTAGAGGTACAAGAGAATGTTCTCTATCCTACCGGGGAGGAAAGGAGCTAAGATTAGAAAAATGAAGAGAGAAAAAATAAAATCGAAAAATGAAGAGAGGAAGCAAGGACAATGCAGTCATAATAATATTCAATGCATAGCCTATGAAATTAAGAAAACAGAGGGAGGGGTGGGGTTAGAAGGGATGAGGAGAAGGAGGAAAAAGTGGGATCCATCTAGAAGCATTGTGCTTATAAATTGATTTGTTGAATGGTAGCTTCTTTTTGTAACTGCTTATATTAAATATAATAATCAAATAATGAAAATATAATAATGATCAAAAGATTAAATGGAGAAAGAAACAACCTGTGGGAGCTAAGGAGCCTGGGAGAAGCTTTGTTGTTTTTAGGCATCCACACAGGGAGGCCTGGCCTTTCTTGTGGAGTCTTTGGGTTTGGACTGCTCTTGACAAAGGAGATAAGTAATCATGAGAGAGGAAGCTCCTGGGGTGGGGTTGAGCCACCCTGACTTCAGCACTCAGCAGCCAGCATCCCAGGGAGTTACAAGAATGAGTTCCTGGCTGTTTGAGAGGATCTGGGAATATATAACACACAGAGATAGGCAGACAGACAGACAGACAGACAGACAGACAGGCCTGCTTGTTTGCCAGCTAGTGTTCTGTTCTTCAGATTTTCTGAGACTGAAAGTATGTCCAGTGTACTCGTGATTACTTTGGTATTAGTGGGGAATAATCAGTGCCTCCTGGAAAGCCCTTTCTTTCTTCAGGCACAGTTAATATAACCTCTGCCTAAACAAAATACCTGGACATGATGCTTCAATCCTGTAATCCCTGCTATCCATGAGGCATAAGTAAAAGGATTGCAGAACTTGGCCAACAAAGGCAAAATCCAAAGACTGTATCTAAAAAATAATCTAAAGCAAAAAGAGCTAGACAGTGCTTTCCTAGCAAGCCCAGTGAACTGAGTTCTCATTCTAGTATTCCCAATTTTAAAAAACAAAGGAAAAGATAATTATAGGAAAACCTAATTCCAGTAGTAGAAAACAACCTCCTCTTCCTCATCTACCTCCACCTCCTCCTCCTCCTCCTCCTCCTCCTCCTCCTTCTCCTCCTCTTCTTCACCTCCTCCTCCTCCTCCTCCTCCTTCTTCTTTCCTTTTTCTTCTTCTTCTCCTCCTCTTCCCCTCCTTCTCCTCCTCCTCCACCTCCTCCTTCTTCTTTCTCCTCCTCTTCTTCTTCCTCTTCCTCTCCTAGCATCTCTTTTTTTCTTCCCTTCATCCTTTCTTTCTTTCTTTCTCTTATGAGGTTTGAATTCAGGGCCCTGTGTTTTTCAGCTTGTGGCACTCTACCACTTGAGTCATGCCTCCAGATCAGCTTTTATTCTGGTTAATTGAGTCCAAGAACTTCTCTGTCCACATTGTCTTAGAACCTCAATTCTCCTCAGTCTCTTGAGCAGCTAGGATTATAAGTATGAGCCTCAGTACCCGGCTAATTTAGTCCATAGATCTGCAGATATTCTGTAATATAACATTGTGATTTAATTTCACAGTAAACAAATGTGTCCTCACTCTAAGGAGGACATATGGCACTACTTGGTGACAAACACATTCAGATCATGTTTTATGTATTTATCATTTCTTATTAAGTTCCAAATCTTCTTTATAAGCTGCCTATGAGAGGCTCTTTGAAAATATCATTGCTTGTAGCTAGATTGAAATTTTTGTCCTCCCATTTCAACAATTCATGAATAAGAAGTAGGTAAGCTGGATACAACACACACACACACACACACACACACACACACACACACACACGTCCCTTACATCTCTAACAACTATTTTCCATAAACAGTTTTTCCTATGCTGGATTGCTTCATTGATACAACAAAATGAGTTACCCTTCTACTAAGCCCCCCTCCCCCCTCCCCACCCCCGCCCCTATCCCCCTCCCCACCCCCACCCCCCTCCCTGAGCCTTTAAGATGGCTAGTGCTAGCATGGACAGGAGAGGGCTTTGTTTATGCTCTCTTGAGTTCTGCTTTCCCATCTTAGGAGACGAACATTATCTAGGGACTCCTCATAGGTAAAGGATTGTTTCCATTTCCAGCCTCACATTTCTCCAACAAACAGTAGGTGTGCCGATGGCCTCCAGGCCTTTCCTTCATCCTTGCCTCCTGGAGTCAAGAGGTTTTGCTGTGTCTTCCCAACTCTCATGCTGAAAGCAGGGGCTGTGTCAGGTTCAGGGCTGCAGCAAGTAAATATGCAGAGCCTGTGCCACACAGAAAGCTATAATTGATGTCAGCAGTCACAGCTGCAGGGCAGCTGCGGCCAGGGCACCTACCCACAAGCTTGTACCTATTTTGGGGAATGGTAATAGAAGTATG